TGTCAATGGCAAAGAAAATGGAAAGTCAAAACACAATTACCTGATCTATCTATGCAGTATCTATCCTTTGTAAGGATGTTAGGTTCTTCACAGTCCGGCAGGCAAGTCCCAGTTTTTGAATCTTTGGCAACCCGGCATACGTTGCATTCTGTAGGCAGCGGGTTCTTAGATGAGCTGGTTTGACAACCTTCAATTGATGTAAAATATTCAAATACTTCATTATTCTCTCAATCCGTGGATACCACCATTCCAAACAAACTTCTAAAATGAAATTATTATACTACTACATGAAAAATTTCTGCACTTTGATTGGCTCAGAGCAGTGGTATTTCAGCTTAATTTGAAATACCTACATGTGAAAGTTGCAAAACTATTGTGAGTGGTGTTATAAACAAATAATAGCATGATTTGTTCGTGATATTTGGCATAAATACCACTCGTCACATTTCAAAATTGTCTCACATTTCACTCGCCTAACGGCTCGTGAAAGTATGTAAAACAATTTTGAAATATCACTCGTGGTATTTATGCCAAATATCACTACAAATTATGCTATAACAATAGTAATTAACTGGTTATAAAGGCTAACCAGTTGGCTATTAACAAACGTGGTTAAGGCATACCCAAAAGTAGGTGACATGCACCCAGGACCTTTTTTATGTGCTAGCGTGAAATTCACTCTTGATAACAGAGAGGGTAAAACAAACCAAAATGAATTTTTAAATGATTTTTTTCTAATCAAAACTATTGCTTTTTTTAAAACAAAAGGAATTGTAAATAGTGTTTTGACAGAATAGTTTTTTTTTTAAGTGAATTAATTTTACTGCGCTTTTCACAAACATGCGAACTCTAAAGTTCAAAAGCCGCCTTCACAATTGCGTTTTTCGCTGCTGTCAATCATAATTATGATCACAAGCAACGAACCTTGAAACACAGAAACACACAAAACGGATCGAAATCCACCGATCACAAATCACAAACCTTGACCTTTTGAACCCGTTAAAGTAAAGTTTTGGGCGCGATCCATTCGACCAAAATTTCCGGAAATTTCGGTTCAAAACTCAATGGAGCGGTTCGGTCCAACCGGAAACGTTTCGAAAAAACGGGTCCACCTTTTGAGGTGGACCAATTTTCCCGGTCGGACCGGTTGGAATTTTGGTTGAATGGATCGCGCCCTTTGTTTCCTATTATTGACGGCAGCGAAAAACGCAATCGTCAGTTGGCTTTTGAACTTCAGAATTCGCATGTTTGTGAAAAGCGCAGTAAATAGGATTTTAATAGTTAGCATTGTTATCAATAAAATATGTTCGATTCAAAATAGCATCAGACGGCCCGCACGCACAATAAGTAGGTTTGCAACCTAACTACGTTGGTTTTGTTTTAGTTAGCATATGGCTTTTGTAGATAAAGTCTTAAGGACGTTTGGAATAGCATGTCTTCCAAATTAGGTGAAGTTCATCGACGTCTTCTCTTACAGGTAAACCAAGCAAGACAAGGACTGTATACCAGAGCTTTTTTATGTCTAGGGCACTTTCCATTTGTCAGAACTGAACAGCCAGACCATTGCCGGACCAGTCAGTTAGCAAATAAAATCGGCTTTTCCCAAAACGTTTTTGCTGAAAAGCCATCTCCTTCGTGCGTACTATTTAGGATTTGACTGATCTGGCTAGATAGTTTTGATAAAAAGTGAAATTTCTTATTAAGACAGAAATGGTCTGGTCGGGAAGTTGTGACAAATGGAAAGCGCCTTAAGAGTGGTTCCGCTCCTCATGGAGGCAGATTGAGGGGAAGTAGCGTGAGACAAGACGATGCATTTTATTTTGATTCGAGACGTCGACAAACCAGTCTGGGCGACAGTTTTGTTAGCCGGTACTTGGCTTTGTTCTAGGTAGACCTAAGTTCAGATCCTCGACCCACTTATAATCTAGGCCAGCTGTTTAGTACGGATTCTTAACCCCAAGTTACTTCATTCATTACCTGGAAAGTGTCTTATACGAAGAAGGTAATTAAACATTTCTAAAATACGTAAAGACCGTAAAAAGAAACGTAAATACGTAATTGTAGTGCTAAAATACATTTAAAAAAAAACGTAAATACGTAATTGTAGCGCCATGTTAGTATTACAACTTTTTAATCAGTAAAGCTTTTACTTACCATACAGTGGATCACAATCTTCGTGACATTTCTGCACACACAGCTTCGTTTCCAGGTCCATAAATGTATCCCCTTTGCAGTCTGCCAGGGTCATGTCACGTGACACAACCCGAGCGTCTATCACATCAACCTGTTTGTCACCGTTTCCGAAGGCGTAAAACCGCGTGTTTAAGCGATCACTTGTATCCAGCATGTTTAAATAAATTTCACCACTCTCGGTAGTTCCCAGTGTCTTACCGTATTCAATAAGAGACGTCGATTCTGTTTCAGTGATGCAAACGAAGAAAGACTGCATTAAGTTTGGGTCGCCAAGAGCTACTGCGTTTGGATCGGTAGTTGAAGTTTTCAGGTGGTTTCCCTTTAAAGAATACACGGAAAAGCATAACTTAACTAAAAGAATTCAAGTTGATATAAATTAGATTAAAAGAGCAAAGTACGAAAAAGCGGAAGTCAAACTTAATCTGCATGGCATTCACGTAACCAAAAGACAAAATACTGTAATGACCTCATCAAAACTCAAAATAGGGGCGAGAATTACAATGTGTACTAACTTTTCAAAACTGATTTCAATGTATTTACTTGGGGAAGGGGACAAGAATATGTAAGTGATACCAGGTTTTAACTGAATTGTTGGTTTATTATGATTTTTCCAATGGGAAATAGACGAAGATGGGAGTTAATACAAATTTGGATAGTTTAAGATACAACCAAAGCAATGGAACATGTGTCGATAATAGAGTCCCCGATAAAGTTGTATCATGGTTGAGTTCTTATTCTTGGGGACTGTAGAAAACACCACGAACAAGCTTCCTTCGGTTGTCGCAGTAAAATGAATACATTTTCCTTTCTTGTCTGTAGGATCAAAACGTAGAGCATTTGACCATTTCACATTACACGGCTCTTTTGTCAGTGTTCTTTTACTTGGCATTTTAGTGGCAACATCCGCTTCTGGAACGACTTTTGCAAGAGTTTTTCCCACCAACAAGGGCGAAATATTTGGGAAAAAACTCTTGCAAGCTTCAAAATCTGGTGGAAGTAAGTCTAAACCTCCGCTGTTCTGATTATACGAGAGAATCAAACCAAATACAGACAACTTGTGTTTCTTTACATCACCACTGTCTCCGTTATTAAAGGCATTGTACAAGTGGAAAGAGCCATCTTGTTTCGCTGTCATCCATTTTCCATCAGTATATTTGATAATGCGACTCATGTTCGCAGGAATGTTATTGTTTTCAGCGCCAATTATGTCTTTTTCCATGTCAAAGATAACACGAAACCCTTCCTGACCACTTGCTATTTTTTGCCAAGGTGGCACAGACTTAGTGGTTTGTCTTTTTAGGCTGTCTTGAACAATCAGGTCACTAGAAGGTGCCGTGCATGCCGGCAGGTAAAAATCTGAAATGGAGTTAGGACCCTGGAATAGAACGCAAAAAGTTCCATAAAAATAACGCAAAAAGACAAGGAATGAATATTTTCGTATCATAATTAAATCATGACTACGCTGTTGTCCGCAGCTCGAATGATAACAGGAGCCTGCAGTTCTGACCATATAACACCTATGTTAAAGAGCCTACACTGGCTACTTTTGGAAGCAAGGGTTAACTTAAAGATTCTTTTTATCACATATAAAATCTTGAATCGACAATCTGCTGGTTTTTTAGAACCTCTCATTAAGGAATATCATCCATCAAGAGCACTACGATCATCATCCTGTTCGCTGTTATGCACCCCAGCCATAAAATTCAAAACATATGGAGGACACGCGTTTTCCACTGCAGCACCTCAGTTATGAAACACCATCCTAGAATGTGCCAAAAATGCAGAAAGTGTTGCTACATTTAAAACAAAACTTAAAAAATTTTTATTCAAGAAATATTTCCATTGATTTTTATTCTTAACATTTTTCTAGTGTTTTAAAGTGGCCCGAACCTATTTATATGCGCGTTGGTTATGTTTTTGAATCGCGTTTTTCGGCAGGAATGATTTAACTGATTTCCATGATTTTTGGTATCCTTAATTTTAAAATGTTAATTTATTTTCTTGTGGGTATAAAAACGTTTGCGATATCGACAAACGTTTAAAATCTCGTTTTCACAAAAAAATGTCAATAATTTCGAAACCCTAGGACAGATTTTTCTCTAACTTCGGCAAATGAACCTCAGAGCTCTCTACTTTTATATCTGCAAGTTTGAAGTAAATCGTGACTGTAGAATTCGCTACACAAATAGCTGGTCAAATTTAACCTTAAAATGTAACGCTAACACATTTGCGAAAGTTGACGCGCGAGTAGAGGGAAACTGCCTGCGGACTATCTCCTATGCGCAAGGGTATTTTTGCCCAAAGCTTCAGTTGCAAGAAACTGAGTGATGAGAAACATACAGCGAATACAGTTCGCAATGCAAGAAGAACAACTTTATGCTGAATGCGGGGCAAGATAAAAGAATTGCTGTTTATCAAACTTACTTTGTTTTTGTTCCTCTCTTTTCGAAAACTATCTTAACTAGGCAAATTATATTATCTACGAAAAAGTTTTTAGCGTCGCAGGATTCCGTTTTGAGGAGAAATAAAGCGACCAACTCGAGTACTTCTAACCGTCCATTTTTCAGCTGCACTGAAAGCCCTTGTACTTGGTAATTTATTCAAGGTTTTTAGACTTGACATCACATTCGCACGGGAAGTTTGCCACTTGGGGATAAAGATGAAGAAATATGTCAATCGTCTTATTCTTTTCATTATCCCCAACAGCAAAATGCCCTTGCGAATGTGACGGCAAATCTTTCAAACTTGAATAAATTACCTTATACAAGGGTTTTCGTTGCAGCTGAAAATGGATCGGTTGGAGTACTGGAGTTGGTGGCTTTATTTCTCCTCAAGACGGGAACCTTCAGTGCTAAAAACTGGTAGGAGATTTCCGTACATGTTATATCGTGCTTTGTTGAGATTTTTTGCAAAAAGAGAAGGTTTTGGAACTCGGAAATGACCAATTGTTCGTTAAACAGGGAATCTTTAATATCATACCTCTTCCATGTAAACCTCAATAGCCTTCTGAAGACTTAACCTTCTTTGACGGATGGCATGTTCTAATCCTTTTCTACTATCAAACGAACAGTAATGTTTAACCGTTGTACCATTTGCGCCAACAGACTCATAAAAAGTGACAATTTCTCCGTTTGCGTTTGTCTCCGTTTTCAGGCTTGCAGCATTCCCTTCACAGCCCCAGTGGACTTTTTCTTCAGGAAACAAATCTCGCATTCGAAAGTTTAGCAGATCAGTGATAGAACCGATCTGGAAAAGAAAAGGCTTGGGGTATTTGGGTATAGAAACAAGCCATTCCTTGAACTCTGATTTAAAGGTGGGTGAGTAGGCGTCAGACAGGATGGAGGCAACCTCGTGACTTCCACCAAGTGCTATAACAGTTGTTGACGTAGTTTTGGATTGTTTTCTTTGAGATTCTCCTTTTGAAACGCTCGCCTTTGCGCCTACACTAGCAAATAACGATTTGTATTCCATCTCCATTTCCACAGCAAATTCTTTTTTACTTGAAACGTCACTTGCGTCCATGAACTTGCGAATTTGAAGCTGGCCTCCAAACTTGGATGACTTAATGTAATGCGTGCCCCATCTTAATATGAAATCCACTGCAGGGTAGAAAAAAAAACATATATCGTGCCTTTCGAGTTTTTCTACTGATATGTCAAAACATCCTGCATGTTGCCCTCTTACATGAGTTTTTGTAGCCTGACTTGTACTTTCAATGAAAATACTGTACAATTTCCCCTGAGTTGGTTACCCACACCAACCTTTACTGCGATTATCAGTTGATTATGACATGAGGGAAGTTTCGCGCCTACGTTTGGTGTTGTTGGGTACTAGTTTCCATTAGAAACGCCTTGTGTTATTGACGTCAGCTAACGCCAGATCTTAGTCACTGAAGGCTTTTTTATATCGGTGTAGTAGTATGCGTTGTCGCGTACGTGCTACGCTCGTTCAACCATGGAAAGGCATAATTCGGAAGGCAAAAGCTATACGAATTCCTGAAAGCCTCGCTCCTCGTTGTTTTTTAGATATAGCCAGTTGTCTTCATCGTCCAAGTAACGAAGTCTCAAGACTAAAAACTTGTGAACGCATCTACTCGTTATGTCTTGCACTAGAGACGGAAAGGAATAATAGCCGGAATTCTCCAACCCAGCTGGAATCATAAAGCTGATCCACCTCTGTTCATTTATTTTTTGATATCCTGTATAGAGCTATTTCGAGAAAGGTTGTCGGAAAAAGTGCACGCGACAATCCCGAAAGGTATTGTGGGTGGTTTTTAGTTCACTGTTTTTTCAAAGAAACTGATATCAAAGAATGGCAAGAGGGGCCATGGACATAGGTAAGCGAGTGCTAAAGGAAAGCAACAAAAGTAGGGTCGACGGCTACAGTGTAAGGAACAGTGTATTGATCATATCCCATATTACCTTTCGGGATTGTCGCGTGCCAGGATGGCACCTGCGCGTGCACAGTTTTTCCGACAACCTTTCTAGAAATAGCTGTATTCAACTTTCACTTAATACTCCGCCATTCCTTCAAATAAATGTAAAGCGATTTCGCGCGCACAGACGACTGATAACGTCAAAACCACAGGATGGTTTCAATGAAAGCTTCAAGATGGTTTCAATGGAAACTTTTAAAACTTAGGTGCAAAACTTCCTGCATGTCATGCTAAAGTGATAATCGTAGGCAAAAGGGAGAAAACAAAAGGGGAGGCAAAAGAAACAGTTATTTTTAGGTACTTGACCATTTCCCCGTGACTTGGTTACCTACAGCATCCTTTTGGTTTGTACAAAAGGCATAGGGAAGGCAAAAGGAACAACAATTTTTAAACTGTTGCACTTTAAAGGTTGACGATATTGTGAGAACACCATGGTAAAAGAGACTGGTAATGAAAGCTGGCAAAAATCAAATGTGAAAACAATGTTTCTGGAAGTTATGCTGCTGTTATTTGGTTCACACATGACTCAGTGGGACGTTTCATTGGTCAGTTAGTTCAAAGTGATAGCAATGCTTCTTTATGTTGCGCATGATTAAGCTTACAACTGAAGAAAAAAGAAGATGACAAAGACCCTTGACGAGCTATATAACTATTGCACTTTAAAAACTATACGGTCTCCAAATAAACCTGCTTTTTCTGTTGCAAAGTTATCGATACTTTCTGAAATGAATTAACATGAAAAATATCTTAAAGTGTTGAGGTACGATTACTGATATTGGTGTTTGAAGGGTGGATGTGATTTGGATCATATTAATTTATGTTTGAACACATAAGACTTTAAAAATGCCTAATGTGTCGACCACCGGGTTAATCATTACACATTTTGAAGATAATAACTCATGTAAAGAAAATAAATGAAAATCATTTGAAGAGAAATGCAGATCTTTAGTTGATCCTTTCTCAGTTGGTATCCCATGCCACTGAAGATGTACTTACGAAATCTAAGCGGCGCTCCTGCAGCAAAGTAAGTTGTCGGTAGCTCCATGAACTCTCTTAAAAATGACAAACTTAAGTCTTGGGGTTTGACCTCGTCCAGAAACACTTCATATCTGCAATTCACAATGTTAGTCACAGAAACGGTTAAAGGGTTATTTGGGTACGACTTGGTTTAAAACGAAAAGCGTTTCTCAAAATTCTTCGAATTTGTGCATTGCAGGCTTCTTTTGTAAAGGCTAGAAGGCGCAATATTTCATCAGGAAATCCAGCTGCCTGTTGATTTGTTAATTTTCTATTTGACTCTAACCTGATACAAATTTAAAATTTAAACTAAAATTTAAGAATTTAGGCCCAGTTTATGCGTCGTACTTTTGCCGTGTCGAACTCAATTGTTATTGTGTTCAACACAGAAGCACGGCAGAAGCGCGACTTTAATTAAGATGTCGTACCAGAGTCGAAAATAGGTTTTTATTGTGAACGCAGTATCAATCAAGTCAGCGCTTGACGCAGAAAAAGAATATACATTTCCAAAACATATCTCCTATCTCCTATATTTATGAATTTCGTTTGGCACGGCGCGCATGAGGAAGACGTTTGAATAACTGCCGTAACAGAGTAGTGTAGCACGGCAGACCATTTCGAACGTCACTGCTCTGCCGAACCAAATTCAAAGCTTATCTGATTCAGACCTCGTGGTTTTGTTGTGTTTTTGTCGAATTAAATTATTGAATTAACTTACGGCAGGAGCACGACGTATGGACCGGGCCTTACTCAAGTAAATCTGAGGAGATGTAAGGATTCGCTCTGGCGTCCTTGAGTTTATGGTTTTACCTGTTAATGTCGACGCTTAACAAAGCCATGTACGTTTGACTTGAACCTGATTTTGACTCGCCCCATGCCGATTTTACGCCTGCGTGGAATCCAAAATATGAACCTGATATACCAGCTTCCGCCTGCAGAAAGGACTGGAACTCGGAGCGGCTCTCAAAAGTCACCATACTTGCTTTAGTGTCGTAAATACCGTGTACGTTCATAGTGTCTGGAACGTCATAGTCATCATACCTAAAATCAGCAAAAGGCAAAGATTGATTATATCACTCTTTGCCTTTGTACACATGGAGCCTGTCAGGTGTGTAGTGGAATCCAGACTAATATCTCAAGAAACATGAATTTTTTCCTCTGAATTTCAGTAAAAAGCCCTGCATTTCCCCCATTAGTCTGAAAATGTTCTTATAACATTTAATATATAACTAGGGCATAAATTATGCTTGACTTTATACATTGTTATTGCTATCTCCTGCAGTTTACGGTTCAGCAGTGAGAGGAGTTTAGCCCTTACAATAATTTCATCGTATGCACTACTTTTATCACAACATACTGATCTTAGCGCCCTCTCTTGGAGTCTCTCAATCTTTCTGCTATCAGATTTTCTTTAAACGCGGCAGACCGTCCGACAATAAGTTAATTCTCGCAAAATAAAAGATTTGTAAATTCTTAGCTTCGCTCATGTTGGTATTAAATTTTTCATTCTCATCAGGACTTGTCGAGGAGTTATTTCATAGGTAGGTGGAGTAGGATCGTTCGGGTGAACGTAGTCCTGAATAGGATCCTGTTCGCGACTATTTTCATCCGGACGGTCATACTCAACCTACTAACGAAACCTCTAATGCTTATTAAAAGTGACACACAATAGCTTCATTTCTGGGCCACTTTCTGCATATTTGTCGAGGACTTTGATCGTCGTCTTTCCTCTGGTAACATACTTTTCATGGTCATCTGCGTACATCTTGATGCTGCTTTTGCCATTGTTGTAGAGCAGGTCGTTTTGGAAAACATTCAGTGAGGGAGGCCAAAAATTTGAGCCTTGGAGGCATTCTCTAAACATTTCTTTCCATTCGCTAGAAGTCTCAGTTCCAATTCTAACCCCATTCTGAGAAGTACGATCTTAACAGTCCGATATCTTCTTCGGTGAAACCATATGCGCTCGGCTTCGTCAATAATAGCAGCGGGTGTAGTACAGTTGTAGTGAATCGAAGGCTTTTGATAAGTCAGTTGTTGAAACCCCGAGTACCTTTTGGTCATGCAGTGACCTTTTCCAGTCCTCTGCTAGTTTTATTATTGTTGTCTGGCAGCTGTTCTTTTTCATATATGGCTCAATGTATTGTGTAACAGCGATAACTCTTTTTGGGGTAACTAACAACAAACTGAGGATTTTGCTGTTTCATTTGTACCAAAAACAATGAAAGCACCACCGTAGCAGTACAAATGTACAGCGGAACGTTAAGCGGTGCATAAAAATTAGAGAATTCTTACGTTGCTTTTCCAGCGCAACTCCGTTGTACGAGGCTCATTTTCCTTGATTCAGGGCTGTACTCACCACGCCCGTCAAAACCCACTCCCATGAAGGCTGCACCATCAATCATGTTCTGTCGGAAAAGGGAATATTAGCTAGTAATTCATACCTACGCGACTCTTATTTGGTTTCACGGCCGGATTGTGTTAGAATTAAATAAAGGAAGATCATCGCAGGTATACATGCTACTTTTGCAGTTCGTCAAAAAAGAAAGCCTGAAACGATTCAGGTTTGTACGGATTCGAGCCCGCGGCCTCTAAAAAATTGGTGCAGCGGTCTACCGTTTAAGCAAACAAGCCAATTTTCGCACCTCTTAAAAGCCTCTTATTTCATTAGATACCAATACCCTGCGATACGGGTGCAGTGCTCTAACCAGCCGAGGTAACATGCCAACTGGGAGCTCGGTGCTCGCTTCAGACAGCTATAACTAAAAGGAAAATGCAAAATTTGTATGTTTAAAGGGGCCACGTCACGCTATTTGGTGTCTTGTTAAAAAGCTAAAACTTGACTTCTCATCATTTTAATTCCAAAAAAACGTTCGAGTTTGGTTATTTAAGACTATATTTAGACATTGAAACTGTCTCTTGTCGTCTTTTATAGCAAGGATATACATTGATTGTAACTTGAAAAAGTTAGGTCAACCTCTTTCAGGTTTTAAGCTATACCTGCAAAAATCAACAAAAAAAACAGTATAGTAGGTTCTTCATGATGAAACTTGTTTGTGATCTTCGTAATGCCATCACTATAGCAATGTCCTCGTGACATAGTCCATTTAAACCTGAAAACTGCAGGACAACTTCTTAATAGACGACAGAGAATCGCGTTTATAAACACAACTTAAGTAGTTTCTGATGAAGCCCCAGCGAGTGAGCTGGTCCCACTCATTTTGAATTCCTTATTTTAGATTTTTCACTTCGTTGATCAAAAACACATCCCCGTATTTTTGTATTCAAAAACAGTGTTATTTTTTCACTGAATAAGATAAAGTCAAAGGTTTATAGCTCCGCTGCATAGCGTTCATACCAAACAGGCGTCTAAAGTCCACTTTGCCACATAGCAAGGATCTCCTTCCTTGTACCCAGTCCCATAGCATCCATTCATTAAGACGTTCCCGAGACCTGCTGGGTAGTTAAATGCTGCTGGTTCAGGTTCTGCTGGGGACCCAGCGTCATCTTTTATTGATGCATCCATGTGAAATCCCGCGGGTACAAACATATCTTCTGATTTCCAGCCTTTCTCAGGTATAATATCCAGCTTAATCTATAATCGAGATAAACACTGAATCACTCTACCACGACAAAATTACAGAAAAATGCACTCTACAACCAAGGTGGTAGTTGGTAACGAATGCCAGAAGTGTAATATAGCGAAGAACAGGATATCTAACTCAAATAGTAGCAGAGAAGTATTGCTAAGCAAGAGAGAATCTCTTTTGTGCTAAGTGGACACTGCGTTGGAATCACCATTTGGAGGCCCAGGTTCAAGGATAAGATCTGTCCACTAGCTGCGATCATGCTTGTCATACGAAGAATCAAATTCAGCGAGGGACCAACCTCTACAACTTAAGTCCAAAATATATTTCAATTATGCTGGGATAACAACTACCCACCTCTTTCTTTAAGAAATCTTCTGCCTTCTGTTGTGCTTCATCAATTATCTGTAATTGTTTATCAACCATTTTACCCATGACTTCAACCCCTTTCTCTACCACAGCACNATCGAGATAAACACTGAATCACTCTACCACGACAAAATTACTGAAAAATGCACTCTACAACCAAGGTGGTAGTTGGTAACGAATGCCAGAAGTGTAATATAGCGAAGAACAGGATATCTAACTCAAATAGTAGCAGAGAAGTATTGCTAAGCAAGAGAGAATCTCTTTTGTGCTAAGTGGACACTGCGTTGGAATCACCATTTGGAGGCCCAGGTTCAAGGATAAGATCTGTCCACTAGCTGCGATCATGCTTGTCATACGAAGAATCAAATTCAGCGAGGGACCAACCTCTACAACTTAAGTCCAAAATATATTTCAATTATGCTGGGATAACAACTACCCACCTCTTTCTTTAAGAAATCTTCTGCCTTCTGTTGTGCTTCATCAATTATCTGTAATTGTTTATCAACCATTTTACCCATGACTTCAACCCCTTTCTCTACCACAGCACCTTGCACATCAGCTACAGCTGCGGCAGCCATTGGAGAATTTAGCCTTACTGGCAGTGCTGACCTCTTAGAGCCTGGCATCGGAGATGGGGCAATACTATTCCTGGAACCTGGCATCAACGTTTTGGAAATATCATCTGGTTCTAAAAGGAACAGTTACATTTGAAACAGAAACTGCCTCGCATAGTCTGAAGTGAAAGTGAGGATGGCCTCAGTTTTGTTACTAGACTTCTTTGAACGTACCTGCCTCTTCAACCTTGTCTTCAGCTCGATGCCCTTCTACCATTTGTGAAATTTTAATTCCACTCGAACCCTGGACATTACTGGAAAGTGACTGGTGTGTTGTAGATACCTCAGGATGATTCGTTTCGTCGTTGGTTCTTTCATAGTTCCGGGTCATATAAGATGCAGGTCTCTGTCCATTCACAGGAAGAACGTTGTTGTCACCGTGACCAATCGACGGTGGTTTTCTAGATATTAAATCCTTATACCTAGTATTAAAGGACATAGCACTTGGCGAAGAAACATACTGCATCTGCTGGGTGTCAAAACCGTTGCGGTTAAATTCAATTCTTTGCCGCTTTTCTTTTGGGAGGAACGATCTCCGTCGCCTTGTCCGGCGGGTAGTGCCGACGACTAAAGGTAAGTGAAAAACGAAAATTAATAATCAATAGAGAGGAGAAGTCGTTACTACGGTTACGTTGCCATGGTAGCAAAATTTCTGGATGAGAACAAACCGAAAACATCACTTAAAAAGTGAATTTGCACTGTTTCAGTCTTCGACGATCTTATTCAATTTCATTTAATCTGTCAAATGTTGGCGAAGTTTTCTGGGGTAAATCCGAAAGGACCGTAGAAAAAGAAAAAGAAAATTTTTGCGTTGTGCTCACCTATTTCGTAAAGTGGGTGCGTGAAATTAAGAAGTTTCAAGTCGCAGCCGGGCAACGACAGCTAAGAAACGTACAAAAAAGAGTGACGCACGTGTAGAGTTGTTGTCCGCTTGCCGATATAAACCTGTTGCTTTTTTACAGTTCTCTCTCCCTTCGCCGGCGTGGTTGCTTAAGCTCCCTCTCTATTGTGTGATCCAGAAATTTTGCTACCATGGTAACGTGACGTCACACTTCTCCTCTCTATTATGAAGACACTAAAGACCGGTTATTTAAACTTATACAGCGTTTTAAGGACAATGAGTCCACTTCCACAGCTGTTTCGGAATGTCTTATTCATGTTGTTTATACGTTTCTTTAACCTGCCCAATGTGTCTTTTTGATAAAAGCATTAACTGAAATAATCAAAGTCGAGGTAAGTGTTACACATACTTTCCATTAATGGAGGAATGCAAGTCGTTTCGATGAAGAATAACCAGTTGTTTTCGATGGTGAAACCAGTAACTGCGACGATTTTTGTTGGCGTCGACGGAAATTTTGTTATCCAGTATAGTGCGAAAGTGAATGAATGAAATGTGTTTCCCAACCCGAAAAATGTTTGTTTTATATTAAGCCTTTCCAAAAAAATGATAGTTGAACCAACTATAGTACAAATCTGTCGGAAGTATTCAGATTAAAACGAAACCTTCCAAAACAAATTAACATTGATTTTAAGAGAAACAGGATAATCGATAAGTCACCACAGCAAGACTCTAAGAAGGACTTAGGTCAGCACAGAGTCCTTGAAATGAGTCTAAAAAACCTGGACTTCACCTTGTTCTTATTATCCTCGTCTCGATATCTGGATATTGCATAAAAACTGGTTCGTGTTTGATACACTTAAGCAATCGTTTAAACATTAGCCAGACATAGCTAACGGCCAAACAAGCCAGTTAGTGATGACATTTAGGTAACGATAAAATTATGTTAATTTTCTTGATTCTATATGCACTCGATGCGGCTACCTCAATTTTACGACCTTTGACGGACGCATTTTGTGACCTTTATGTCATGATTTTGTTGCAACGGACATCGAGTTATAACGTTTCAGAGGACACCAAAGACAATTTAAGCCGTTTGTTTTATTTGTTGTTGTTGTTTTTTTCANACACTTAAGCAATCGTTTAAACATTAGCCAGACATAGCTAACGGCCAAACAAGCCAGTTAGTGATGACATTTAGGTAACGATAAAATTATGTTAATTTTCTTGATTCTATATGCACTCGATGCGGCTACCTCAATTTTACGACCTTTGACGGACGCATTTTGTGACCTTTATGTCATGATTTTGTTGCAACGGACATCGAGTTATAACGTTTCAGAGGACACCAAAGACAATTTAAGCCGTTTGTTTTATTTGTTGTTGTTGTTTTTTTCAGTTGCCCACCAATCGAAATTCCGGCTCTTCCCGGTTGTCTTTTTAAGGACAACTTGCCGTCTCGCTTCCATGAATAAATTTGTTTATAGTTCACTACAACACCTCTAGCGCCGCATCAGGAATCTAAATGTCAACCCTTTTTCTGCTTAGAACGTGGAACTTTCTAAGAATTTTTTTCTCAGAGCCTGGTATTACGGAAACTCGTGCGTGGTCCCGACGATGTCCGCAAAAACGGGCGCCGGCCGGTTCACTGTCCTTTTGCGTGTTGCTACGAGATTAGAGAGAAACGTTCATCTTACCTATCCCAACAATGAGAAAGATAGTTATAACTGTTACTTTCATTTATCTCCTGGAAATGGCTGCTGATATTGAAAAAAGGAAAAGCTATTTCTTTCTTCAAACGGGCCGGTGAATGGAGACCAGTTAAACTGTTTTTCTTCAGTCGTCTGAAACACTGTGAACTAATTTAGATTAAGCCACGTCTTTCAATGAATTTGAATGGAATAAAGGTTATGCTGGTGCAAGAGACCTTTTAAACAGGTGTCTTGTGAACGCTTATTGATTTTCTTTAAACCAGGTATTACTTTCCATTCTGATCTCTCATAAGTATAATAATTAACGAGAACAAATAATACGAACTTTAGTTACTGCTAGTAACACCCCAAAACGATCTAATAAACAATTTTTATTCGTCGTTTGTTATAGTTTTCTTTCACAAGACATGCCTTTTTGAAAGATTTATATACCTCACACTGTGGTATTACGCGATCTCTTTAACCCTTCTAGTTGTCTTAACATTAAGTACGGGTGGTGAACGGAGGGGCGTTTCCAAATCACTTCACATCGACAATAGAACGGTTATTTCCTGATTACAGTCCAACTTTTCCTTTGGGCCGCCTCACATACATACTTTATTGTCTCTTCCCCAAAGCGGCTTTTCAAAACTTGAACAGAATAGCTTAAGTTTAGGAAAGGTTCTATGGTTCCAGAGGTTAATAGTCCTCTTGTCTGTTCTTTATCTGGAGGCTTTTCTGAAAAGAGAGATGTTTAGCCTTTGGCTACTCCGAGTTGTTCGTTTGCTAACTCAATCACGGGGAATACATTGATTGGGACATAGGATATTTAGGGGCGTCACCGGTAAACAGTACAAAAAACCTCCCAAGCTATATGCCTCTATTTTAAAGATGGTTGTCTTTGTTGTCTAAAAGATCTTGACTTCATACAATCCCTACCTCTATATCATGGAAATATATCTATCTACAATGCTTGCGTATGGCACTGTCTCTTCAAAGGACTGAAGACGCTTTAATTTGACTGCAATTTGCTGCTATTTTACAGTCAGTTATGTTACATTCTTACATTCTATGCCGTTTTTCTTTTTCAGCTTACGGATTCGATACTTTACTTTGATATTTTACTTAACTTTTCGTTATGTTATGTTATGCGGTTACGTTACATTGTTTTGTTCCGTTATTTTAAGTTAGGTTATCAGTTTTATGTTGTGATCCTTCGCGATATTAGTACACATCACGCACTGAAATAGAATTTTTATCCAGCAGAGAATGTTTATTTTTAAAATCCAAATAAAACGGATAGAGCAATACACTATTTATTCCGTATACAGAGAAATCCATTGAAAATTAACCCATTATTCAGTGGACTTTAGACTTGACAAGCCTTTAGGACTATTCCATATTGTCTCTAAGATACAACAAACTATAGCAAGGGTCTTGTACACAGGTATTCAGATAAAGCGCAGCGAGTGCCGAGTGAAATATTGTTTTTGCCACGAGAAAATATAATTCATATCTTCAAGCCGCCGTGTAACAAAAAGACATCGATAAAATAATGGATTTTAATTCGCCAAAAGGTAATTGTGACAGCTCAGATTTACGATACAGCAATATAAGATATTGGTTACAATAATCTTGAGAAATAACACTGAGCTGAATAGGGCTCTACAATGACAAAATATAAGCAAAACTTTGAAAAATGTGTACGTAAAATTCAAAAGACGCAAGACGCCTACAAATCTCGAAGGAAAATTACCAAAATTATGTTATCGGAAAAATCACGTGTGAGATTACGGAAATAAGCCACTTGGGTCCCGGATGTAGGTTTTATGAATTTTACGAGTGGTATATTTTCCAGTAAAACACTCGTGTCTATATAATAAAAACGATATATTTGCAGAAGATTATGGTGTGGTTTTAAGAGTCGACTATTTCTATTATATATATAGCGTCTTGAACAGGGCGTTGTTCGAAAACCTGTGAAGATTGTGCAGGCTGGTGGTGAGCAGATAGTCCACATGTGTGCTACAAACAAATGTTTTGGACATAAATTTAAGAATTTTTTGGTCTGTTGGTTTGAGAACGCCAAAAATGCGAGTTTACCTGACTATAATCGGTAAAATGACCAGTCAAAACAATCACAGAGAGGATTTTAAAATGCTCTAAAATGTCCTGTCTACAAATTGTACTCTTAGCGGTCTGTCAGGAATAGTCACCCCCCTGTTATATGGCTGTACATCATCAGCATCAGGGGGGTAACGGATGTCAAACTGCTGCACGATTCTGGCCAATAAAAGATGGAGCTCCAGCTCAGCTATACGGCGACCGAGACACATACGGGTACCAAACCCGAACGGAATAGAAGAGAATACCTCTTTGGAATCAATGAACTTGCTGCTATGTGGTTCCTTGTCGCGAAGCCATCTTTCTGGTTGGAATTTATGGGCATCTTTGAAAATACTTTCATCTCGGCTCATGTAACAGGCCAAGACATTAACTTGAGTGCCTGCGGGGATGTGATACCCGCTAAGAACCATATCTGTGGGCAAAATTCGGAACAATGCTGATAAAACAGGATACAATCGCAACGTTTCGCGAACCCAGGCTTTCAGATAAGGCATTTGTGAAAGTTCAGAGGGGCTGGCAATCGTTTCATTTCCGAGGACAGAAATGACTTCGTGGCGTAGAATGTCTTGTCTGTTTGGGTGTTTGGCCATCATATATAAAACCCACTGCATCGTGTTGGAGGTTGTGTCAACTCCAGCGAACAGAACGTCTATCACACACGCAAGCAGATCTGCGATAGTGAGCTTTCCACTTGAAAGAAGATACTCGAAGAAACCTGCTTTGTCATCCTCCAGTCTTGTCGAGTCAAGAGGCTTGGCTTTAAGCTCCTTTATCCTTCTCTCAATAAACAATTCAGCGTATTTGTACATGATGTCGAAATTATTACTGAACTCTTTGAACTGTTGGGTCTCATAGATCTTATAGAACCATACTGGTAAGAACCCTACCACGACTGCATTGTGGAGAAAATCTCCGACCGCTTTAATAAAGATCTGGGCTTCTTCGTTCACTTGTGGTTCAAGACAACCAAATCTCTTGTCAAAGAGCATCTCTGCAACAGACTCAAATGACCACTTGAATAACTCGTTATCAAGTTCACTTACCTCGTAAGCATGGGCTGATTCTTTAGGCTCACGAACTGAGCGTAATCTGTAAACAAAGTCAGTTATAATGTCGTTAAAACCCGAAGCGTAATCAGCCACTTGTTTGGGTCGAAGCATGCGTTTGCTTAAAACACTGCGAAGTTTGTACCACTCAGGGCCATCTGCAAAGAACACGCCAGGAATCTTTTGCCGTTTTTCGCGATAATAATCAAGAATAGGAAACTCGAATCGTTGTGGATACTTCGCCTCGGATCGCAGTACTTTTGTGACATCCGCGGGATCCGCAATTTCAACCATGGTATGACCAGCAAGGCTTTGTTTGAGGATATTGCCGTACTTATTAACATGGTCTCTCTGTACCGACAGTATCCGCTTTCCGAGTGACTCGCCTTTCTTTCCAACCAAAACGCTCCAGGATGTTCCTACAACTGGAAGATTGACGGGTCCGGGAAGGTCAGCAAATGACTTGACGGTATCATTACCCGATAAAACTACAGAAGACACCGGAAGAGCGATCGCTCGGTTCCATTTATTGAAGATGATGGTTTGCTGCTTGTAATGCGCCCAAGACAACCTGGAAGGTTTGAGATTTCGCACAAAAGCCATCAGTATTGCTTTAAGATCATACTTGCCATTCTTCTTGTGAGATGCAACAGCATTTTTTTAAAGCAATTTGTTTTTAGCCTTGGCTTTGTTGCATAACCTATTTGAAGGTCGTTGTCGGTACGCGAGGCAGAGGCAGACAGAAATTTACATAACCGACCAGGTTATGTAATGTGTCATGGGCTCCTGATTGTGTGCCTGGATTGTGTGATTCGTCATACGTAATTGAGTACATCAATGAAAGGCCGAATGGGGAGTCGAGAATGATAACCATAGATAATCCGGTTATTGTTTGTAAGCGAATCAAATCTTGGGCTAGGCCTTGGCTCGCAAATTTCTTTTGATTCGATATAAAACAGTAGTTGAATAAATAATCGCACTAAAATTTGGTATGAATCCGCTTACTAAGGTTTGTATTACAGTGGAACCCTGCCTTGCGGTCACCTCGGCGATACGGTCACATTCTTATTACGGCCAGATTTTTTCGGCCTAACAAAACATCCATATATATAAAAGAAATCCCGTTAATGCGGTCACCCGTTAATACGGCCAACGGCCACATTTTAAATCCCAAACCAGTGGCGGATCCAGACCTTAAGATAAGAGGGGGGGGGGGGGGGGGGCTGTCATCCAAACCCTGGGGTAAGGGGGGGGGACCGGTCTCCCAAAAAATGTTTTTCGGCCCTCATTTTGGTCGAAAAATAAGGGGGGGGCGGGCCCCACGGGCCCCTCCCCTGGATCCGCCACTGCAAACAGTAAAATCTCTTATAATTTCATCTCTTGTTCGAAATTTAGAAAATTAGAATGCCTGTGACATGTCAATTCTATTGACTTAGTAATCTGAGCTTTCTTGTACTGTTTTTAACTCGTGGGAACGCGCCAGCGTACCAGGAGTTATTGCAGGGACAGAGATAATGCAAATGAGTCACTCGCTCACACCCAGTAGACGGACTTCGTAATTAATCGGGTCCGAACTCGAGAGTGCGAAGATCTATCGTTTCCGAAAAAGCACGCGTTCGCCGAAGTTCGGTGGGATAAAATTCTTCGCTGAGAGCGTACATCGTTCGGCGTTCGCTGCTAAGACTCCGAGTTTTCTTTGTGGCCAATTTTACTACAGCACGGTTAGAGGTCTTACCAAATTTAAGACATGAAGGAGTCTTTCAAATGAGTACGATGGTTAACTTGGGGATTGGATTTCAAGAGCATTTGACTCGTCCAGGCGTTAAACTTGACGAGAAAATGAGCACTTACGCTCCTGACTTCGGAAGATCACGGGGGATATACAAATTCCAGCTTGCTGGAAAGTGATCTGAAAGTGAGAAAATGTCATGTTATGCTGTTCTTAAGAACCTGTATGAGCCGAAAATGGATGTGATTTTGACCATTCGCTTAAAAATAACAGCAGAAATCGAGATAAGAAAACATATGTTTTGCGTCCTACTTCGCTGACGAGGTGTATCGGCTTTGTAAAGCATATGTTATTTTATTCATTCGTTGCCATGAAATGCGTTTACATTGTTTTTTTACTGTTAATAGCTCAGTTAATGCGGCTCGATCATACTGACAAGTTTGCTGGTGGAAGTTCCATGGATAACGCATTAAATTTTAATTTATGCTATTTATGCTACTTTACTTTACCACTACAACCCCAAGGCTGATTACATAACTATGGTGAAAACTCTTTTGGTCTGTCAGGAATAGTCACCCCCCTGTTATATGGCTGTACATCATCAGCATCAGGGGGGTAACGGATGTCAAACTGCTGCACGATTCTGGCCAATAAAAGATGGAGCTCCAGCTCAGCTATACGGCGACCAAGACACATACGGGTACCAATCCCGAACGGAATAGAAGAGAATACCTCTTTGGAATCAATAAACTTGCTGCTATGTGGTTCCTTGTCGCGAAGCCATCTTTCTGGTTGGAATTTATGGGCATCTTTGAAAATACTTTCATCTCGGCTCATGTAATAGGCCAAGACATTAACTTGAGTGCCTGCGGGGATGTGATACCCACTAAGAACCATATCCGTGGGCAAAATTCGGAACAATGCCGATAAAACAGGATACAATCGCAACGTTTCCCGAACCCAGGCTTTCAGGTAAGGCATCTGTGAAAGGTCAGTGGGGCTGGCAATCGTTTCATTTCCGAGGACAGAAATGACTTCGTGGCGTAAAATTTCTTGTCTGTTTGGGTGTTTGGCCATCATATATAAAACCCACTGCATCGTGTTGGAGGTTGTGTCAACTCCGGCGAACAGAACGTCAATCACACACGCAAGCAGATCTGCGATAGTGAGCTTTCCACTTGAAAGAAGATACTCGAAGAAACCTGCTTTGTCATCCTCCAGTCTTGTCGAGTCATGAGGCTTGAGCTCCTTTATCCTTCTCTCAATAAACAATTCAGCGTATTTGTACATGATGTCGAAATTATTACAGAACTCTTTGAACTGTTGGGTCTCATAGATCTTATAGAACCATACTGGTAAGAACCCTACTACGACTGCATTGTGGAGAAAATCTCCGACCGCTTTAATAAAGATCTGGGCTTCTTCGTTTACTTGTGGTTCAAGACAACCAAATCTCTTGTCAAAGAGCATCTCTGCAACAGACTCAAATGACCACTTGAATAACTCGTTATCAAGTTCACTAACCTCGTAAGCATGGGCTGATTCTTTAGGCTCACGAACTGAGCGTAATCTGTAAACAAAGTCAGTTATAATGTCGTTAAAACCCGAAGCGTAATCAGCCACTTGTTTGGGTCGAAGCATGCGTTTGCTTAAAACACTGCGAAGTTTGTACCACTCAGGGCCATCTGCAAAGAACACGCCAGGAATCTTTTGCCGTTTTTCGCGATAATAATCAAGAATAGGAAACTCGAATCGTTGTGGATACTTCGCCTCGGATCGCAGTACTTTTGTGACATCCGCGGGATCCGCAATTTCAACCATGGTATGACCAGCAAGGCTTTGTTTGAGGATATTGCCGTACTTATTAACATGGTCTCTCTGTACCGACAGTATCCGCTTTCCGAGTGACTCGCCTTTCTTTCCAACCAAAACGCTCCAGGATGTTCCTACAACTGGAAGATTGACGGGTCCGGGAAGGTCAGCAAATGACTTGACGGTATCATTACCCGATAAAACTACAGAAGACACCGGAAGAGCGATCGCTCGGTTCCATTTATTGAAGATGATGGTTTGCTGCTTGTAATGCGCCCAAGACAACCTGGAAGGTTTGAGATTTCGCACAAAAGCCATCAGTATTGCTTTAAGATCATACTTGCCATTCTTCTTGTGAGATGCAACAGCATTTTTTTAAAGCAATTTGTTTTTAGCCTTGGCTTTGTTGCATAACCTATTTGAAGGTCGTTGTCGGTACGCGAGGCAGAGGCAGACAGAAATTTACATAACCGACCAGGTTATGTAATGTGTCATGGGCTCCTGATTGTGTGCCTGGATTGTGTGATTCGTCATACGTAATTGAGTACATCAATGAAAGGCCGAATGGGGAGTCGAGAATGATAACCATAGATAATCCGGTTATTGTTTGTAAGCGAATCAAATCTTGGGCTAGGCCTTGGCTCGCAAATTTCTTTTGATTCGATATAAAACAGTAGTTGAATAAATAATCGCACTAAAATTTGGTATGAATCCGCTTACTAAGGTTTGTATTACAGTGGAACCCTGCCTTGCGGTCACCTCGGTGATACGGTCACATTCTTATTACGGCCAGATTTTTTCGGCCTAACAAAACATCCATATATATAAAAAAAATCCCGTTAATGCGGTCACCCGTTAATACGGCCAACGGCCACATTTTAAATCCCAAACCAGTGGCGGATCCAGACCTTAAGATAAGAGGGGGGGGGGGGGGGGGG